TCATGTTGTTTCCTTTTTCAGACTTATCTATTTTTATGCATAACTCTTGCATTCTACTTTATTTTTATTTTTATTCTTTGTGACTTACCATAATTAAGTATATTTCTATTTTATCATTTTCTCTCTCTTTAATTAATTGTTTATTTTATTTTTATGAGTTTATTATTTTCAAGTTATAAACATAAAAGAAAAAATTCAATACACCAATCCTTGGAAGCACCAAATGAAGAATTTTTGTTTGCACCTACGAGAAGAAATTGGAATAAGAATGCCAACCCAACAAAACAAAGAAATTTGAGCCCAACCCAAATTCCAAGCATGGCGCCCGCCACCAAGACCATGGCACCCGCCATGGGGTCTGGGACTATAACGGGTAGATTTTCAAAAACCTTCCACTTTCTCCATTTTCAACCCCAAAAACTCTCATTTTCTCAACCACCTACTACCCCATTAACCACCCAACAACTCTCATTTTATCAACCGCCTACTACCCCATTAACCACTCCAACATCCATTTTTCTAACCTTCATAAAAATTCAAACTTTCTCCTCCCAATCTCCAACACCCATTTTGAAACCCACTTTTTTTCAATTTTCTTCCAAAGGAGCAACAATGGAGTTCAACGGATACGTTCTTCGTGAAGGCAAACCCGGAGACCGACAGCGAAAATCCTTGAAAAATTGCAAGGACGAGAAATTGTCTCAACCAGGTATGTCGATGAAGACTGTCTGTATACTTTAGGACTTTATCATAGTTTTTCATTTAGCTGACATCCTAGGATTGCATGACATTTTTACTAGAAAAAGGCCCACCTTTAAGAGGCTAACTCGAGAATTCTTAAGTTCCCTAATTTATTTGGTTCACTCCAACACTGCTAGTACCGTCGATCCACAGAGACTAATCGTCAATCTAGTGTTTCCTATTGTTACGGTGTTTAGCTAAATCAATATTAAACAGGGAATTAAGCATGCAAGAAAGTAAAGTGCGGCGAAGTAAACTCCAGATATAAAAGCAAGGTCGAATGTAATTCATATAGTCAGATGATATTCGCAATGCTTCGGAATAGAACTACTTATAGGGCAATATTTTCTACTAAAGAAAAGAACTAATTTAACAAGAATTGTCGCTTTCGTGTAATCAGAACCGAGTTTACTCTCTAACTAGACCTTCTTATCGTCACTTATAAAAAGGAGCGCATTGCGTTAAAATAATAAACCTATTTTTAAAAAATAAAGTACTTGACCAAGTTGAAAAGTATTTTGATCCGGAAATTCTAATAAAAAGGGAACCTAACTTTAACCCTATAAACGCGTCCAAAAATATTTTCAAAATCGATTTCTTTGATAATAAAAATCCCTAACTAACCGGACAAAGCGCTTTCGCTTCCTTTGACCAGTTATAACTAACTGAGTTTAACAAAGGGTTGCACGGCTTTCGATCTTACCCAACAACAATAAAGTACAGAAAACTCGTATTAAAAACCAAAAATAGCCCATAAGCATTTCTATTGACACATTATTTGGAATATCGATCTAACTAGATTCCTTACATTCTAGCCCAGTAAGGTTCAGCCTGACATGGGAATATAAACAGACATGTTAAAATAAATCATGTGAGAAAGTAAATAATTTAAAGTGCGATGCGTGAAATAAATAAAGTAAAAGCAGGTGCGGGAAATAAACAAAGTAAAAGCAGTGCAGAAAATAGAAAAAGTAAAAGAAGGTGCGGGAAATAAACAAAGTAAAAGCAGGTGCGAGAAATAAACAAAGCAGGTGCGAGAAATAAACAAAGTAAAAGCAGGTGTGGGAAATAAACAAAGTAAAAGTAGGTGCGGGAACTATAAATAGAAACCTGCTCCGAACGGGGAGGTTTTAAATCTGGTACAAACTGGAAGTAAAATACGACTTGAAATAAACAGCAGTTGAAAATAAATGTGGCAGGATAAACTTCTGCCGAAGTGCTCCAAACTTGATTACAGACTAAATCTACGAACTCGATCACAGAGTCAATCAACAGTGTAATAATTCTCTGATGTGAAGAATTATCGCTTTACAATGGTGAAATCATATGGCTTAAGTTCGCAAATATGGTTGGATCAAGTTTGCAACTAAGCTTGGGTTTACGATACTTGAACTAGGTTCCTCATCTGACGATTGAGAAAATTCCTTAAGGGGTCTTTAGTTACGATTCTCGGCCATAGTTTTTCTAATTCTACATAGAAAATGGATGCAACATTCAGGTTCCGCTAAAGGATTGAATAAGGTTCTGGTGCTGCGAGATCTTCGCATCAACCGGACTGTAAAACTTAGTCTAGACGGTGTGACTATAGAGTGCGAAATTTGACGAAAAATGTCCCCAGCAACGTCTGCATCGATAATCTTGTCGTTGCGTCCACCATGGAGCCAGCCATAGGGTAGGCCATGACGTGGACCACCTCCTGCTGACCTCAACTGCCACGTTCCCCACTTCCTTTCATTTACACTCATGGCGGGCGCCACCTTTGGACGATGTTCCCCCCCCCCCCCCCCCCCAAAAAAAAGGAGTTGGGGGGCATTCCTATGATTTCCTGCATTCTTCATCCTCTATAAATAGAAGTTCCTGATTTCATTTCAATTCACCCAAGCTTAGTTGCAACCTTGATCCAACCATAGTTGCGAACTTAAGCCATATAATTTCACCATTGTAAAGCGATAATTATTCACATCGGGAAATTATTGCACTATTGATTGAGTTTGTGATCAAGTTCGTAGATTGAGTCTGTAATCGAGTTTGGAGCACTTCGGCAGAAGTTTATCCTGCCACATTTATTTTCAATTGCTATTTATTTTCAGTCGCATTTTACTTCTAGTTTGTACCAGATTTAAAACCTCCCCGTTTGGAGCAGGTTTCTATTTATATTTCCTGCACCTGATTTTACTTTGTTTATTTCCCGCACCTGCTTTTACTTTTTTTATTTCTCGCACCTGCTTTTACTTTATTTATTTTCCGCACCTGCTTTTACTTTGTTTATTTTCTGCACTGCTTTTACTTTGTTTATTTCCCGCACCTGCTTTTACTTTGTTTATTTTCCGCACCGCACTTTAAATTATTTACTTTCTCGCATGATTTATTTTAACATGTTTGTTTACATTCCCATGTCAGGCTGAACCTTACTGGGCTAGAATGTAAGGAATATAGTTAGATCGATATTCCAAATAATGTGTCAATAGAAATGCTTATGGGCTATTTTGGTTTCTAATACGAATTTTCTGTACTTTATTGTTGTTGGGTAAGATCGAAAGTCGTCCAACCCTTTGTTAAACTCGGTTAGTTCTAACTGGTCAAAGGAAGCGAAAATGCTTTGTCCGGTTAGTTAGAGATTTTTATTATCAAAGAAATCGATTTTGAAACTATTTTCAGACGCGTTTACAGGGTTAAAGTTAGGTCCCCTTTTTATTAGAAATTCCAGATCAAAATACTTTTCAACTTGGTCAAGTACTTTATTTCTTAAAAATAGGTTTATTACTTTAACGCAATGCGCGCCTTTTTATAAGTGACGATAAGAAGGTCTGATTAGAGAGTAAACTCGGTTCTGATTATGCGAAAGCGACAGTTCCTGTTAAATTAGTTCTTTTCTTTAGTAGAAAATATTGTCTTATAAGTAGTTCTATTCCGAAGCATTGCGAATATCATCTGACTATGTGAATTACATTCGACCCTGCTTTTATATCTGAAGTTTATTTCACCGCACTTTACTTTCTTGCATGCTCAATTCTCTGTTTAATATTGACTTAGCTAAACACTGTAACAATAGGAAACGACAGATTGACGATTGATCTCTGTGGATCGATAATCTTTTATATTACTCTGATGTGATTCGTATATTTGCGAATACACCGCATCAAGTTTTTGGAAAACAATCTTTTGATAGAACTTTCAAAACTCATGTTCCGTGCATCTTTTCTTAATTTATGCCTAAGCCTCGAAGCTATAAAGTAGTCCTACAAAATAAAACAAATTTTTGTTTTTGGTACTCAAATTTTTTCGATAATGTGTTTTAGTATTTTAAATAGGCTTTGAGGTATTCTCCTTTGACCATTAGAATAACAAAAGATTCTAAATGTCTATTTTTATTATAATACATGCACTTAAACACATAGTGATTAGTTTTGTTCCTATAATGGCAAATGCTACTGAATTATTTATTGGGTAGAAAACTTAATCTATTTTTATCATAGAAAGCCCCTTGACTCAATAAAACTAAGTCTAGGTTCTTTTTACCTTTTAGTGAAATTGCCTAGGGTTACATGTTAGTTATGTACTTCATTTTTTAAACATGTCTCACCTTTAGTTGACTCTAGTGATTGATTTCTAATTTAAGTTAATTCTTCCTTAATATTTTTATTATTATTTTTAGAAAATCAATATGATTTAAACATTTGCTTATTAGTTAGAGTTATTATCTTAGTATCATAGTCTTAATACCACAAAAAATTGAGCGTATTACTTTTTTTACTAGCAGTTGTTTACATGGGAGAATGTGCACTTTTTTGAAACTTTATTTATGAATTAAATATTTAATTCTTTTGCTGTTTAAAAGTTTGTCTGTTACTTTTTTTACCAAAAATATATATAATTACTGTTAAATTAAAACTATGTTTCAAAAAGTTTTAAATCGATTAATAAAAATAATTAAGATGCAAAAGGTATTATATGAAACAAAACAGTTTTTCATGTTTCTGAAGTCAAAGAATTTGCATGGTTTGACGTGGAGAATACTGGATTTATATCACAATGATTTAATCAGAAAAACTTGTTAAAAAAGAAAATGGTAGTATTATGTAATTGTGTTCTATTAATAATACAAAACAAATCCACCTCAAAACATGCATGCTGATGAGCCTTCATCTCACAAACTAAAAAGAAATACTCAAAGTACGTAATTAATTAACTTATGCAAATGCAATATACCTAAACAAATACAGACACATATTATTAGGAAATGCAAGATAAATATTAAATTAAGGAGTTGGAAGATGATGAGTGGTAATATCAATATGTTGTTTTTTTGCAAGATTATGCTTATTGTTATGCATCCAAACCTTTAGCACTCTTCTCTTCACTCCAATCTCCGCACAGAACTGTTGCACTAGAGATTCTTCCTGTTTCTGAAATTTCCATCCAACTTTCTCAGCAAAGTTCAGCATTTTCTCCTTCTGCTCCTGTGTAAACTTTGTCCTGAACCTTTTCTTCATCACTACCTGTTGATGCTGACTCTGCGTTCTACCATGTTCTTCTTGCTCATCAGATTCAGAAGGTATGTTGTAGTTGAAAGGCATAATGATGTGTCCATGTCCATGTGGTGGTGGTGCTACAGCTCTAGAAGGAAGAATATTGTTGTTGTTACCTGTTACTGCTGCTGATGTAGAGTTAGGAGTAGTGTGAGGGTGGTGGTAGCCAAGCCCGAGAGGTTGATCAGGAAGAGGTAACATGAATTTCCTCATGCTGTGATGTTGTTGTTGTTGTTGTCTGTTGAAGTTGAAGGTGAAAGGTGAGTTATGGTGATGTTGGTAGTTTTCTTCATCAGTTTCACCTTCAATTTCCTTTCTATGGAAGTTTCTGTGACAATGGCAAGCCGAACAGTTGAGTGCTTCTATGGAACCTTGTTCACCACTTGGCATGAACTCACCACAACCATCTGTAGCATTTCCTCCCATTGCAGCTGCATGGTTCTTCAAGCATTCTCTGTACTTGACCACCACTTGTGATAACGGTTTCTTGTAGGAGGATTGATCAAGATCTAGTTCTACACCAGTAGAGTTTGTGGTTGTGCCATTAACTGAAGGGTTCTGACTCTGAGGTACTAGTGCGGCTGAGGAAGATGTTATGATGTTATTGTGGCTGTGGTGTAGGAGAGGTGGTGGTGGAGGAGGAGGAGGATGGTGGTGATGATGATGATGATGATGACCATGTCCGTTACTAGTAACACCAGTAGCAACATAATTATTAGTTGGGATTTGGATTTCACCATCCTGGCTGCTAGAAAGTTCCATCAGTTTTTATAATTTGGACTTAGTTTGTTTGTTCTTTGGAGACCAAAAACAAAACACCAACCAACACAGAAACTGCCAAAATGATGATTTTGTTACAAGGTTGTTTCTATGAAAAGGAAAATGGTTTTGAGTTCATAGAATAGTTAATAATAATATTTGAGGTAAGTAATTAAGAAGAGAAAGCAAGACAAGAGTGACAAGTAGTAATTAATTAGTAGGGTATAGTTCACTGCAGAAACATATGGTAATGAGAACAAGACAACTTTTAACCATACAAGACACTTTCCTACCCTGAGTATTATATTCTCTCTCTCTTCAAAAGGAGAGAGACAAAGTTTGTGTGTGAGAGAGAGAAAGAGAAACAAACAGTGAGAAGATAATGAAGAGAGATTATAGAGGTAAAAGTGATGGATTGAAGAAGAAGAAGAAGAAGTAAGGAAGAAAGCAAAACATTAGAGTAAAAATAAAGAAAGAGAAGAGAGATATTGGTGGTGAGCAAAGGACTAAACAAAGCTTAGGTTATAAGAGGTGAAGTGAAGTGGTGTGTTGGGACAAAATAAAGCAGAATTTAAGAGACAAAGAGGAAGGGTGGAGAGAGAGAAAGAAAGAGATTAGAGAGAAAAAAAAGTAAGTTGCTTGGCTTGCTTTGCTTGCACTATCAGGCATCAAGTTTACGCCATATAGTGAGAGAGAGAGAGCAGTGTGTGTGTCAGATAGTGGTGAGGACAAAAGATCAATGCCCACAAACACATTCTAAGAAACACTAAATACTTTCATTTCTCAATTACTCCCTCCATCTTAGTCATAAATTCATCCATATAGTTATTAATATTATAAGAAAAAAAATTGGTTTACCTTTATTAATAATAAATTAAAGAAAAATATATTCTATTAATTTTTGTCGACTCAAGTTTAACCTTGTATCATCAAAGTTATATTATTCGAATATCACGTCAGAGACTCGAGTTTTAAATTAGAATATTGACGTCGTTTATAGGAATGATCAGTTCTTCTAATTTTATTATTTATAGTCACGATGGATCGAAGATGTAATATTCTCAATTTAGATTTATTATGATAAATTTTTAAACGAAGCAAAGTTGTTTTTTTTTTCTTTTCTATTTGATGAGTTGTCATGAGGAAAAACATTCACTTTGTGTCAAAAACTTATTTAAAAGTCAAAAACTCACCCAAACAAATGAGAGATACAAGATATATTCACCTAAAACTTTAAGAAAATAGGTATATGAGTTCTTTCACTTATAAAATATTCAACATTCACATTTCCAAACAATATGAAACATACACAATCACATTTATTTGTTTCTCAATATGATCATCCTCATCTTGGTGGCCTCACTCAATTCACAACGCGTAGAACTCATTGAAAAAAATAATGCTTTTTATAAATCTTAGAAAACAATGTCACCAACAACAACATCACTATTTTCACACAAAAAAAACAAAGATCTTGAATGTAATCTTTATCCTAACTTTAAAACCTTCTTTTCTCATGGAACTTCACAATCCTCCGTGTTTTACACAATCTTCATCATTTCTCTCCACAATACATGTAACATGTTTGACAAAATTTTCAAACGAAAAACCACGACAATTCTTCAAAGCCACCTCATTCCTTTCGTGTCGGGTCAATGAAACGATGTTTAGGTCCTTCATCATAAGAAGGAATTCTCACACATTTCCTAAGTGAAGTTGCAAATAGAGAAAACAAGAATAAATCCAAGTCGTAAAAACAAAAATAATGGTGTTGTTGAAGCACGAGAGATGCCATCAAAGGGTATCTATGGCAGAATGCTCTAATGATTTTGGAACTTCTTTGATGTCATTATTGGTATAATCTTAATATCAATTGGGAATAGAAAACATGTATACCAAGTAAGCACAATAACACTTTGAATTATGTGGAAACTACCCTATAAAAAAATACACTCTCACTCACATATATAAGGTCTCAACGGTATCATATGTTGAGTATACATAAATCTTGAATTAGATTATGATATTAATCATAATCTACAATGTTCCATATACTTTTTATTGCATCAAATGTTTTAAAAGATAATAAGACTAAAACTCACATCAAGGATAGAAAAGCCAGTTCCTTCGTTTAGCTCTTTAGTAAGAACGATGAGGTATTTGACAACTCGTCGAACTAAGATCCCCAACCTAACCTCTAAGTTCCTACGAGGAACACCATGACACTATATATTTCAGAGAGAAAAAAATGTGTCAAACACTCTAGCTAGGTCGAATCAACACATGACTTAATAATGATAATATTTACTTCAAGTCATTTGTTTTTGTTGTTGATTAGAAGATGGCAAATAGAATAATTACCAATGCACTTATTCACAAACAAATGATCCATATACTATGACCATGTGAAAAATGTTGGAAATCCACCAAATTCTATGATGAATTTCTACCACAATGACAATTTAATTATGAGACAAACAAAGAAAAGAAGACAAGACAAATATTTCTGCAGAGTTTCTCTCTGCCCACAAACTGTGGAAAACTTTCTTAATCACTTGCAACTGCAAATTCTATGATTATAATGAATTGACTTACTTGACTTGATTTGAAAAATAGGGGTTACTCCCTCTATTTATAACTGAGCTTACACCCTAAGCCCAAAGCCCAAAATATCTTTTTGTTACTAAATCAAATCAAATCAAATTTATTCTGGACTTAAATCAAATCTATTTAAATCTAAAATAAATCAAATCTTCTTTGACACTATGAATTACAATTTAACACACCACCTAATTCATTGTGTCTAAACTGTCTATGTTCATCATGGCTCTTAGCTTTCTGAATACTTCGACTTGCACTCCCTTCGTCATGATGTCTACAATCTGATTCTCAGTTCTGCAGTGTTCCAAATTCATCTTCCCATCTGCTACCTGCTCTCGAAGATAATGGAATCTCATTTCAATATGCTTACTTCGACTATGTGCTATTGGGTTCTTTGCCAGATTAATAGCTGACATGTTGTCTATCTTCATGGTAATTGCTCCATGATTTTTCCCTGTTATCTCTTCGACCAAGTTCACCATCCAAGTTGCTTGACATGCACAAAGAGAAGCAGCTATGTATTCTACTTCGCATGATGATAATGCCACTACTGGTTCCTTTCTTGAATTCCAAGCAATTGGTGCACCACCTAGCATAAACACATATCCTGCTGTTGACTTTCGATCTTCAGCATCACTACACCAACTCGAATCAGTGTATCCCACTAACTTGCATTCTTTTCCTTTATCAACTACAGGAAACAAAATGCCATAATCGAAAGTTCCTTTGAGATACCTTAGTATCCTCTTCACTGCTGCTAGATGTGATACCTTTGGCTTCTGCATAAATTTACTTACCATACCTACACTGTATGCTAAGTCAGGCCTTGTATGACAAAGATATCTTAATGATCCAATAAGTCTTCTGTATTGGGTTGGATCAACATCATCTTCATCTGCATCTTTCGACAGTTGCAGTCTTGGTTCTGCAGGTTTCGAAGTTGAGTTGCATTATTTCATCTCAAACCTCTTGATAATTTCTCCTGCATATCTTCTTTGATGCATCATCAAACCTCTACTGCTCTTGTAGAATTCGATACCAAGGAAATATGAAATCTCACCCAAATCAGACATTTCGAATTCCTTGCTGAGATTATCTTTGAAGTCTTCGATCTCACTTTTACAGCTACCTGTTATCAACAAATCATCTATATAGAGACATAGTATAAGCAATTTACTCTTGCTTCTTCTTACATATACTCCATGTTCAGTTGTGCACTTCACAAATTCCTTCTCCCTTAGAAAACTATCAATTTTCTTATTCCAAGCCCTTGGAGCTTGTTTCAATCCATACAGGGCTTTATGTAGCCTGTACACCTTTCTTTCTTCGTCATGTTTCACAAACCCAACTGGTTGTTTAACATAGACTTCTTCATCTAAGGGTCCATTTAGGAATGCACACTTCACGTCCATCTGACATATGTGCCAACTGTTTATTTCTGCTAGACCAACAACCAACCTGATTGTTTCGATCCTACCAACAGGTGCAAAAACTTCGTCGAAGTCTATTCCTTCTTTCTGTAGAAATCCTTTCGCCACAAGTCTTGCTTTGTGTCGAGTTACTTCACCTTTCGAATTCGTTTTCACTTTGTATACCCACTTGACATCAATTGTCTTCTTGCCTTGAGGCAATTCGACAAGTGACCAAGTGTTGTTGTCTTCGATAGACTTTACTTCTTCGTTCATTGCTTTCACCCACTTCGAATCTTTTAATGCTTCAGCTGCATTAACAGGTTCGACATCTGCATAGAAAGCATAATGTACCAGCTCACATTCATTATCTATTACATCATCTGATGTAATCACACAATCTTGCAATCTTGCAGGAATGCGTCTTGTTCTTTGAGGTCTGCTTGTACTTGGTATATCTGATGGTTCCTCTTGTCGAACTTCTCTTTCGACTTGAGTTTCTGGCTCTTCGAATAGGATTCCCACTGAATCTTTCTTGACATTTACAGTCCAATCCCATTCTTTAAACTCATCTATGATCACGTCCCTGCTGATCACAATCTTCTTGTTCTCTGGATCGAACAACTTGTAGCCTCCTGTCGAATGATATCCAACTAGGATCATTTGACTTGACTTGTCATCAAGTTTTCTTCTCAACTGATCTGGCACATGTCTATGTGCAATAGATCCAAATACCTTCAGATGACTCAAGCTAGGCTTCACACCAGACCAACATTCTTCTGGAGTAATTCCTTCTAGCTTCTTTGTAGGACATTTGTTCAAAATGTATGTTGCAGTCGAAACAGCTTCACTCCATAACTCTTTAGGTAAACTCTTGCCTTTCAACATACTTCTCACCATATTCATGATGGTTCGATTTTTCCTTTCTGCAATTCCATTTTGTTGTGGAGTATAGGGTGGCACCACCTCATGCACAATCCCTTCCTTTTCACATAATATGTCGAAGTCTTTCGACACATATTCTCCACCACCATCAGTTCTCAACACTTTGAGCTTTCGACCACTTTGTCTTTCGACCATAGACTTAAACCTGGTAAATACTTCGATCACTTCACTTTTCTTCTTGATCAGGTAAGTCCATAGCTTTCGACTGAAATCATCTATGAATGTAACAAAGTATTTGTTACCTCCCATCGAATCCACCTGGATTAGTCCACATACATCAGAGTATATGACTTCAAGACTAGCCTTCGATCTGCTTCCTGCATCCTTGCTGAAGCTATTCTTGTGTTGCTTCGCCTGCACACATTCCTCACATACCTCGTTTGGAATGTAAATTTCTGGCAATCCTGAAACCATATTTCTTCTCTTCAAATCTCTGATGTCTCTGAAGTTGAGATGACCTAGTCTATAATGCCATATCCATTCATCTCTGCTAG